TACCCGTACATGCAGCAGCTACGCGAGACCATTTACTCCAGCTAGATCACCACGCACCCACCGCATCGTCTGGTACATGTGCGCAATGTACAGTCTGCAATATGGAGTGTTCAACCGAGCGCAGTTGTACCTGGTGCAAAAAATTTCTCCATCACTTCTGCTCTCATGATGTCTGCGTTTCGTTGAATATCCCAGACCCTAATGGTGGATTCGCCAAGGATTTCGGTGGTAGCAGCTATTGCAGCACACAAACGCTACAAAAATGAACTTGGTGGACCAAGGGAGAAGTGATGAACGACCCAATGCCCTACTTGACCTCCCCGCGAGTGTTTTGACGCCAAGTATGGCTCCGTCGGAACCTGCAGAGACCAACGCCGCCACACATCCTGCTAAAAATTGCTCGGGGGCAGCAAAACCTAAGCGAAAAAAGCGCGGTCCTGCCGAACAATCAGCTCCAAAGGCACCCCGAAGCGAAAACCAAGGTGCGCAACGGAAAACGAAAAGCAAGAAGGCACCTACCAAGGCCAGTAAACCCAAGGCTGTGGCAATGAAAGAAGAGTTGATTCGCCGAGCACATGCGGCTGCCGAAAAATTTGTTGATGCTAGCGTAGCATTTTCACCGGCTGATGAGGAGTGGATGCCGCTCAGTTTGTAACGCGACGTTGGCGCAGCATTTTTGATTAGTGTGGTGACTCGCTACAGCCTGGCAAGCGAAAAATATGCTGACAATGTTAGCGTTCCTCACGACAAATTTCAGGTTCAATGGACGTGTACTGCTTTTCAAATAAAATATCACGTTCACCATGTTTCCGAAGCCATCATCACCCGTGATATCCGCCAGTTTGCCAACATGGAAAAAGACAAACTTCAATTTGGAGAGTCTTGGACGTCCCTGTGCAACATGGTCCCCAAACTATCAAACATTCCTGCACTGACAGATGAATTTGAGGAGATGGACGAGCGTGGTTATCGTGAGTGGTTTGCGTTTCGCGGGCGGAAAGAATTGCAGCGCCCTTTGTGCCCTGGTGAAGTCGAAGAGATAGCGTCAATGACATTTTCACCCACAGCATCGCTTGGCCAACCGTCAGGGCTATTTACACATCCGGATGGGTCTTCAACTACCAGACTACGCCCGGAAAGTCATGGGTTGTTTGGGCATTCAGCAACCTCATCGTTCTTCGCGTTTATTCCGTTGTCGTTCTGGATCCAAGTGGTCGTCTTTACCAACGAGTATGCAGACGCAGCTGGCAGCCCATCGGCAACTCCTGTAAGTTTAGAGGAACTGATGAAATTCCTTGGGATCCTCTGGTACATGACTCTGTTCGACAAGGGTGAGATGAGAAATTACTGGGTGGACGACGAGG